ACCTGGGGGACCAGCTACAGCAGGATGGTCATTAAATGATTGACAAGCATGAAGTTTTGGCTTGTGCAGGACAGTTTGTAAAAAGTTGTACGTGGAGTGTAGACGATACAGTGTATACAATATGTAGGCTTTATTTAACCATGGGCCATTATCTCATGCCCAATATTCAGCGTGATTTAGCCACACCTGCTTTAGGTGCTTTGCACCACATGTCTCCCTTCAGCCACCATGCAAACTATAGAGGGGCAAATCAGGGAAACCTGGGCACATTTTATGAGCACCTCCTACAAACTTATGCTGACCCCCCTCTCTACATGATACACACAGTACATATCATTCCCTAAGGCAGGGGTGGGCTAGCTCTGGCCCTCTAGTTTGTGTGGAACTACAAATCCCATGAGGCATTGCAAGATTTTCATATACACCGCCATGACTTCCAGAGACTTCTGCCTAATTGTGTTTGCCGCCCGGCTCACGCAACACTGCCCAGCAGGCAGCCGGCAACGCCCCCTTCTATGCGCCCACCTCCTGCATCCCTGGTTGTTATGCCACTTACCCCCTCAGTTCTGCCAGGCCCCCCTGTGCCCCGGGCCCCATAGCGGCCACCTGGGTCGCTATAGCGGTAGTTCCACCACTGATTGAATGCAGTCATACAGAGCAGCACATAGTTCTCCGTCCAAGGTTTTCTATGTCAGGATGTGTAAGTTATCTGTGGAATCTTGCTACTGTTTACTCACTAGATCAGTTGTTATGTAAATAATACTGTATGTGATTGTTACAAGTTTGTTATTCAACAGGAATTAATCAGCGGGAGTGTGTGTGGAATTTACATAACAAGCAGTTTTCGTATTTACTTACACTCTAATTAATCTGTTAAGCTCCAGGAAAATGTAAAGCTTCCTGTAATCACAACATTCCATAGTAACGCATCACAGCCTTTATATTGCCCAGCAGCCTCAATTTCTGCAATCTGTATTAATGCAAAGAGCGTTTATTTGTTTTCCTTGTATAGAATGAAGCTGGAATTGACAATAAACTCAGGCGTTAAATCTTAAAGATGCATTCAAGTACCCTAACTATTAACGAAAATAATCATCTCGAACAATCCACGCTCCTAGTCCTCAAACACCAACCCTCAACAGCAGCTGTGCAAAAAAGAACCAAATAACCTTTCCAATAATTTCTACATAAAGTGGTCAGTGCTAGTGACAATATTCTATTGTTTAAAAATACACCCGCAAAATAATTGTACAATGTCCTTGTTAAAACGTCTTCAAGAAGTGTATTTTCACAGTGATGTGTCCTCCCGTGTGTGTCCTCCCTCCACAGTGATTTAGAAACACACTCACAAGAACAGGTGGACCATTGGGATAAATGGCCTAACAGTGTTTAAATGCAGTTACATTTTTTTGTTATTTTATTCATCCATCTATTCAAGAATCACAACTCTGCTCTCCTCCTCCTCATATCCATCAGCGCATCTGATTTTTTTTTTTGTAATATTAAGAAACAACCTTAGAGTAATCCAATTTTAAAAACATTAATTTATTAAAAAGGATTAAAACCACTCATAATGGAATATGGATACAATCGGTTTTCAAATAGGTCTGAATCTCCATTGAACAAAAAAATCCCACCAGGAAACAATCCTTTGTTATCCGTTTAGAATAAAGACTTCAGCGTGTACTTACTTTAGTTACGTTTGTGGGCATGCATGGCACACTTAAAGCCACACTAAACTTAGGAGTTAAATCTTATAAATACATTTAAGTACCTTACTTATGAACAAAAATGTATCTTTTTTGTGTATCACTCGGCCGTAGATCCTCAAATCATCTCTTTATTGGTGCTGACACTGTCCTTCCTTCTGGAAGGTGAATACTTTTGTTCCCCATGGTCCCTGTGTGTCTTGTATAGTAGCCCACGCTCCCTCCCACATACATAAGAACAAATAGGCATATGTCCAGGGCCGTCCCTGTGCCTACTGACCCCTTCCTGACCACAGTGTCCCTGCTAAGAGCTCTTACAGTGTGTTAAACGCATAGTACCATGCAATCGCACCTACCATGCATTCGTGTGTGGGAGGTGTGTTGGGTTGCCATTCATTTAAATGGTACCCCAAACGCACTTCCCACACACAGCTCGTACGCCCGCACTGGAACTCGCAGTACCCTAATTCTATGCATTCCATTGTGGGTCCTGAGGTTAGACAGGTTGAAAAGCGTTGGTCTAAACACCATCTAAAGAGACATTTTGTTTTTTCATTGAGGATTTAATTATACTTTAAGAATGTGTCTTGAAGAATTCATCTTGTAAAATGACTTGTAAGTGAGGCACCTAGGTTGCTTTTAAGTCAGCAATTGATTGTATTTTATTGTATTACATAGGGAAGGGGAGTAGCTGGAGAACAGAGAAAAAAAGACAAGTGATACAGCATCTAATCTACAGACCTGAATCTCTGTGATAAGGGGCATCATTGTTGTGTGTTATAAGCGTGCTTGGATGATAGTGTCAGCTTGGGTGAAGAATAACACATTAAACAGCATCAGGGGTGACAGCAGGGGAGCAAGGACTCAGGGTCTCATGGCAACATCATAGTGCTGCAAGAACATTCAACTCTGGCAGTGGGCAGGTTTATTTACTTCTTTGCTGAAGCCTGGAATAAGAGCAGACAGATCTGCAGAAGCTGAGGGGAGCAGAGACACAAGAACCATCAAGTAAGTGAAGGCTGATAATAGAATATGAGTTTATTTTAAAAGGCACAGGGCAAATAGCAGTAACTAATGACATCCAATCAGCAGTCATATTTAAGACTTAAGATAAAACTGATATAAGATTAAATGTAATGACATGACTGCACTTTAAATATATAAGTGTTCTTTGTGCAGACAACTTTGTGCTGAATGATTCAAATAAACACAAGCCATAGCCAAAGACATTGCAAGGCAGCTGAATATGAGGCTGGTTGAAAATAGCTTTTTAAAAGTGTCACTTCTGCTATTGAACATCTTTTGAAATTATCAGGATGTTCCTCGTGTTAGAGGCTGAGATACTTGTTATCATATAGGGAAATTCTCCAGCTTGTTGGAAAATCTCCCATCAAGTGGGTCCTGATCCCTCATGGTTCTATGTAGAAGAGTGAAAGTACCACACATGTACCATTATCATTGACATGTCAGGATTAGTGATGAGCCGAACAGGTCCAAGATTGGTTTATATGCAAGTTATAGTGTATGGGGATCCGGGTACTGCCCTGGGGGACAGGAATCAATGAAAAAAAAAACTTTCAAATAAATACCGGTTTTAAAGGTGCAGTGGTTTTTAACAGCACTTAAAGCGTAACAATAAAAATTAAAAATCCCTTTAAATATCGTGCCTGGGGGGTCCCCTTAAACTGCCTGTAAAGTGGCAAATCTGTACAATGTATAGAACCTGCTGCAGTAAAACTGACAATTATAAAGAGAAAAAAAGATTAATTTTTTTAAAGCGTGCAGTCCCCCCACCCGCCAGTGAATGAGTAAGGAGTACTTGTACCCCTAGCAATTCATTAAAGGGTTAAATAAAATTGAAATTTAAAAAAAACAGACTTTTGGGGAAAATCCTTTAATTGCAAAAAAAACCACAACAAAGGATTTTTGACAAGTCCTTTATTGAATAATATCATAATAATAATATAATACAAAAATAAAAAATGGATCCACCAATGTAATCCATGGTCAATCACGACGTCCAGTGTTGTCCACGACGACTACTCGACGAAATAAAAAATAAAACAATAACAAATAAATAGAAATAATTTTTTTTTTAACGCCGTCCGTCCCGTCCATTCATGACAAACACCCGCCACATAATGGCATTTTGACAGATGCCGGGAAAACATAAACAATTGGGCGGTGCTAGCCATGACAACTAGCTCTGCCCAACTGTGAACAGTTTCATGTCATCTGACAGGTGAGCCATGATTGACCAAAGTCATCATGGCTCTGCCCAATCATGACTCTTACAGAGTACTGAGCCCTGATAGTTTGTGTGTTCGGCGAACACTCACGTTCAACTCAAACATCCAGCCCAACCCTAGCCAGGATCGTAGTAGATTCTAGCAGGAACAAGTCCCTTAAGGTTAGACAGACATCTTCCTGCCTTTTGTTTTTGGGAGATATCAGTCCATCCATGGTCTACCTTGCATAAAAGTAGATGCTTGGATGGCAAAAGCAGGCATGTCCATGTCTGTGCAGCTGGCTTTGGTGGCATCTGCATTCAGGGGTACAGATATCAAATAGTAGAATCCAAACTAAGCACTATACCTCCCTCCCTTCTGAGATCGATTGGCTACAGAAAGTCTGAAGGGGTACAGTCATCACCCATGACCATCAGGTTCAAGCTATGATCATCCAACACAAGGATTTCTGAACTTTCATTTGGTAATGATCAGATCTTTCAAAAAATTATTCTCAGGAAAAGTCAATCATGAACATTTCTGAGCAATAGAAAATTGGTGTATTGATCCAAGCAGGAATTACAGAAAATATCCATCTTGCAAGTTTGGAACCCTTCTTCAAAATAGCAGCTTCTGAGTTTAAAAGGTCTTTCACTGTCTTGCCAGAGTATTCCCATGGCTTTGTGGCATGTTTTATAGGGGTGGGCGTGAATAGCTTTAATGGGCTTAATAAATAGATACAATGGGATTGTAGTTAACAATGTACAGATTTTTGTATTGAGGCTTTCAGAGATGTATATAGGTCTTTGCCATTCACAAAGGATCTGTTAGGAAAGGAATGATGGTGCAGACTGAAGCAACCCAAATGTTAATCATTTGGAAAAAAAATTTAAATGATAAACAATCCAATCAATATCCAAGGTTCATTTTCAAATACAATTTGGAAAGCTCCCAGGTCATGAACACTCATTTTTTTCAAAGGTGAGCTGGAGCCATATCCACACTGAAGCTTTTAATACATTTACTGCACATAACATCAAGTTTAAATGCAATTTTTTTTGTATGACGTTCAAAATGCATTGTATATAAGATTATATGTTTGTAGGCTATGTATATATAGTATGAAACTTTAGCTTTACTCAAAACGTATATTCACGTGTTACGTGATTGCTAAGACGTTTAATCCTTTTTCTAGATTCTTCCAGTGTTGTGTTATATCCACCGGAATTCCTAATCCTGTCCAAAGGCAAAAGTCACTAAAAAGGTAAATGACAATGTTAGGCTTCCCTGATAAGTAGAATAAACACTGAATCACATAAGCTTTGGATCCAAAAGCTACAAAACGTACCGTATTATTGTGACATACCGTGATGAACACAAGGTACCACCATAACAGGATGTGGATACAATATGTAGACCTACAAAATAAACTTTTCTCAATACACTTATTGTGTTGCAACTTGTCTTACCATCCTAAAGGCCCCAACCACTCTCATCACATTTTCACCTACCTAACAGTTTCCTGTGGGGGCATTTTGGAGAGGGGAAAAATAGCATACCCTGTTATTCATTTTCTTCCACTGGCGAGGAGAACTGGAGGAGATCTGGGGATCAGTTGGGGTCAGCCAGTTAAGTAATCTAGTATGAATTCTCACTCCAGCCTTTTGTAGAAATGTCTCTGAGTTGCAGGCATTCACTGGTGATAAGTCTGAAAAAATGGCTTCTTCTTTTTGTACCTTATTGTCTGTGGTCCAAAAACCTTGTCAATGTTTTACCTTCCATACTGGGCCCTCTTGACCACCCATATTGGGCTTTATGCTGAACTTTCTGAGTTCATTCTATTGGTCACCTATCAATTCTATTCAGGTTGTATATGCTGCTTGAGGGCTTAAAAGTAAATGAATTACTGAGGCTGCCACTCAAATATCCCAATAGATACTGTTATGACAGAGACTACATTCCTGTTAAGGTGAATTGAAAATCTGATATTTACAGACATTTATTTAATTTTGCCTCACTTTAGACAAAAACATCAGCCCAAAAAAGCTTCATCATAAATAAAAAAAAACAAGCATTTTCGGGGGCCACCCAGGTCTTAAATTTGATCAGTTTATGGACTGCTTTAGGAAGATTTTTCCTCATTTCCTGTTCAGATGACATGTCAAACAGAACAGGAAGTGAGGGTAAATTTCCTTAGTAGGGACCAATAGGATTTTAAACCTGAGAGCAACTAACCCTTCCCAAAACTAATAGATCTTAATAAAACTAACTCCCAAAATATTAGGTTTTGGTTGGGGTTGGACTTGATTTTCATTATTTTGTATGTTGGAAGCAATTTTACAGTATTCATTGGAACAAGAGTGAGCAGAACCTTCCAATGGAGGCACCTGTTCCAGTGACAACTGTTTAAAAGAGGATTTTTACTTCCTGTTGTGTTTCCAGGATGGGACAAAAATAAATGACAGAGGTTTTACCCATTCTCTATTCTATCCAAAACCAAAAAAATGTATCATACCTACCTGTAATTTTCCTTTTCCAGGTGCCTATCCATGACAGCATACTGTATATTCATGAGTATGCTGCCACGTAGGTACCAGGAAAATTGAACATTTTATCTTGCTTACCTTTAATTTTCCTTTTTTGGCTATAGATATCATTTATAGTGAGTGACCGATGACTATCCCATTTAGCTTGGTAATGTGTAATCCTAATGTTTAGGTGACAGATGGAAGCAACTCATGAAAATGAGATAAGACGATTGATTTGTCCAAAGCCAAAGCAGCGGCAGAAGAAGAATGAAAGTGACGGGATGAGATCTCTTTCAGAGACACCCATGCTTCTTGGTTCCCAGCGGTTTCAAGACCAAGGCCTGAGACGTAAAGCTGTTTCTCAGGATAACATTAAAGTAAGAAGCCATTCTCGACCCAATGCCATGGAAAGCAAACCTAATGATCCAGACCTTGAGCTACACCCTCAGCCCAGTCGATGCTTTTCGGCAGAAGAAGCATTACGCGTCATCAAGTCCATCTTGGATGCAGAGCTGAAGGACTGTGCTTATGATGCCACCACAAGCCAACACAGAGCAATGGAGCTTGCTGAGTTAGTAAAGACAGCAGTGAGAGATCTTGGATATGAGCGGTACAAACTTGTCTGCTTTGTTGTAATGGGTCCAGTATCACAAGGCACTATATACTGTTGCAGCAGAAGTTTATGGAGTCCAAATTCAGACACATCCGCAGAATATCTGTTCCAGAATCATTCTCTGTTTGCACTATGCGTGGTGTATGCTGGATACTATGAATGACAACTTCTATTGGACTAGGGTATGGGAACAGTAGCACATATATTTTATTAAAGGGGTTTGGATATTAAAGTAGAACATGTTTTTCAGGCAACCAATAAGCAGCCATAAATGATAAGATAAATAAAATAACAAAAAGAAAAACCTTTTATTTCAGAAAGAAAAATGGAGAGGAGCTGAAAACTAAGCATTAAGAAGATATCATGCCTTTCAGTTTTTATGTCCGTATAACTCTAATCAGAGCAACAATGAAGACACTGCTGCTCTATGTTTTGAATATTACAAAAACAGCAACTATAGAATAGCTTTAGACATGTATACACATCACATGTTGCTTTATGTCAGTAGAGGCTCAGCCAAGATGACAAATAATTTATCAGCCCTAGAGTGAAGCCCAACACAGAATGAACCAATAGCATGTAGCCCAATATTAGAATTAGCAGGGACGGCATATCAAGTATAAAGTAATTCTAGAGATACTGATGAGAATGCACATTCAATCTTACTTATAAACATCTAGAAAATGACCACTCTCAGCTTTTTTTCACATACAATATTTTACATTTTCTAATAAAATTCTCTTCTGTTGTAAATATGTGAAATAGTTTTTTTTATGATTATTAAGATGGTCATTAAAAAGTTTAATTAAACTGGCAACATGTGGTTCAAAGTCCTATTGTAAATATACAAAAAGAAATAACGATAACAATAAACATGAACTTGGTGGATATGTAATTGGTACATGCATCTAAAGTTGATCAATAAAAGAAAGATCTTTTCACCCATTGTGTCGGTAGTGTCATTTATAGGTTAGGTCTATGGAGACTGACAAAGGGGTATGGGGAGATTGGGGCCTAAGTGTTTGGGTCATCTCATTATGGTTAAAAGGATGAACCTGATGTTCAGCGGTGTGAAAAGAAAAAATCCATTCACCCCAAATGTTGCCAAGTTTAATTGGACAGCCCTGGCTTCATAGGTGAGCCTATATAGAGGCAGAGCTATATTCAGCAATCATTTCCAGGCATTCATATATAATATTATAGTAGATGTCCAGTTAAGGACTTTGTTTTTCTTATGTGGCCTTAGAATAGTCTTCCTGTGAGTCCAAAAGTCAATATACCCACACCAAACACCATTTGGCCTGCAAATATTGGGAAGGACAGCGTTATATGAGATAAACTCAGTACCAAACTTTTATAATTTTGGGGCATCTGCAGGCCATTTGAAGACTATCACTATCCACAGCCAAACGTTTGTGACAAAGAGAGGTGTCCATCTTACACAGTTTGAACAGTCTGACCGGGATAAAATAGACTCTGAAAATATCTTAGGTGAATAAGTTATCTTTTCTTTTCAATCTTTTTATTTCAAGTTTAAAGTACAAATATATGGATAAATCAAAACAACCTTCGCAGGGGCAACAGATTGAATACAACATTCAAAAGAACAAGTGCAAAATTATGCAGAACTAATGCAGTTGAGATGAGTATTTCCCCAGTATGCAGAAGTGTCTAAACAACATTTGCCAGATAGGAGTGTTAGATGACCAAAGGAGCAGCACTTCAGTAATGGGGGTTCCTCTCATGTTAATACAAAAAACACGACACTAGGACAGGGTAGAACAAAGTGAGACTAAGACACCAGGGGAAAAGAAGGTACAAGGAAAAGCAAGGGGAAGGATAATCTGGAATAAGGCAAGTCTTACCCCCATATGTCCGGCACAACCCAACAGACCCCGGATTCAAAATTAGTGAAGACTGGCCATGTTCAAGGGAAGGAAGGGAAGCATATAGCTCAGCCAAGTTTCCCACACTTTAAGGAATTTTGTGTGAGTGTCTCGTGGAATGTTAGTCATTTTTCCATTTAACATGAGCGTATTCATACAATTTTAAACTTCCAGTATAGGCACTTTGAGCTTCCTCCAGGCTTTAGCTATCGTTTGTTTAGCTGCTAAAAATAAGAAAGTTACCAAGGTATGTAAAGAGGATGTAAGGCACGGTGTAGTGCAGTGCAACAGGGCAAACCAAGGGTCACACAGGGCAGTAATGTGAAACAAAGTCTGTATGACACCAAAAATTCGGGAACAAAAGGCCAGCAGTTTTGGACATGGCCACCAAATGTGTATAAAGTCTCCTAGGAGACCAAAGCCACAAAAGCATCTTTCATCATAAGATGGGATGGCTCTCGCGATTCTATAGGAGTGTGAATATCTTGTTCCCAGTGCCGCATATAAGAAAGTTGTGAACCTGATTGGTAAGCATTCAGGTAGAGTATAAAAGGGATAATAATTTAGGGGAACTAGGAGACCGCATGCAAGTTTGTTCAAAGCCCGTCTTAGTAAATGGAAATGCAGTAATATGAGTCAAGGATCCAATCCAATGTCGGATCTGTAAATATCTGTGGAATTCTGCCGGGGGACATTGTACTGCTCCCTAATGGTTGCCCAGCTTGAGAGAGAGTGTGAATGGAGAAAACAATGAACATGTGTGAATTTTTTTGAGATCCACCACAAGAAACACGACAGACTAACCTTATTTATCTTTTGAACTTAAAGCAGCGCTTACATAGGAATTAAAAAAAATAGTTTAAGGAGAACTTTCTCCCGTGACCCACCGCTCAGTCGCTCGCGGTATACTGAGATGCCGCAGCCGAAACGGATCCTGACATTGCTGCCGAGATCCACCCAGCTGCGGGATTGACAGCTGGCTCAATCCTTTTCAGTCATATCTGGGATGTCTCCTTTCCAGTGATCTTTGGGGTACCCTAGAAGGCTTCTCTTGTAATAGGGCACTATAAATCCTAGAGACCAACTTTGAGTGATTGAGTTGAAGTAATTCACTTTCCAATAGAGAAGCTTGAAAGCGTACCTCACTTACACCAAACTGGACCTCAGCAGCATGCCTACATGGAAGATACTGAAAGTGGCAGGTCTTACATACGACCAGTTTCTGCTGCAGTATAGAAAAGGACTTACAGAATCAGTCCTTTGATGCACATACTTCAATCCCACATTAGCCCACTGGGCACTACGTGGAACAGTCATATAATGGACTAGTTCTGGATTACACCAGATAAGATTATTAAGGGAAACAATGTTAGCCATCGGGGAAACTGTCTAAGAGCATGGGTAATAATTCTTCAAAGATGTAGACCAGGGGAATTAAAATTGAAGGGGTGCTGTGAAAGTTTATATAGTTTCATTAGAATCAGATGGTGTGAGCGGCAGGGTTGGTTTTGCATTTTTTACATTTTATTATTTTTTTACATTTTCATCACCTTTTTTCTTTTTTTTCTTTCACTTAACATTTGCCATCACAAAAGTGCTAACAAGCCCCTATGTGACAGCATTTGGAGGTGACATGTTCTCTTTATGGAGACATCAGGGGTCTATTAGACCTCCGATATCTCTCTTGCCCTCCAATTCAGACCATGAAGCACTGGAATGTGCTTGATGATCTGTTTACCAGGCACTTCAGCCAGCTTCTGATAGCTGAAGCAGGAAGCCCTGAGAGCACAGTGCTTCATGCTTCAGTGATCACAGAGCACCCATCTGCTCCCAATCTCCATCCTGACTAGGGCTGCAACAAACTAATTGATTAAGCGATAATAATCGATAATGAGAATAGTTGTCAACTGCTTTCATTATCGATTAGTTAGTTGGATCCCCTAGCTCTCTCCTCCATGCTGGGAGGATTCACAGCAAGCAGTGGGCGGGTACACTAGCCAGCCTGCTATTGGCTATTGCAATTTGAAATGTCCAATAGCAGGCTGGCTATTGCACCAGCCTGCTACCTGCTGTATTTACATTCAGCTGCCATCTGTGGAATCTTGCCACTGGCAGCTGTCATTCCCTGCTGAAGCTATTTAAGCGCCATGTGCTTACAATACAATTGTTTTTTAAAAATTATAAAATTAAAAATTATATCATAATGATAAAGAAATAATTTTTAGTTTTGGCCTGACAAATTCTGCTGCAGGAGGTGCGTTCAAGTGCCATTCATTTCAAAGGCACCCCAAATGCGCCTCCCACCCACAGTGTGATCGCCCACACTGGAACGCACGGTACTGCAATGGTGTGCATTTCAGTGCAGTGCAGTGCGATTGCAAAAAATTGTGCCTGTAGTTTCAGTCTGAAGTAAGCCCATGTAGAAGGTTTGAGAGGCTAAAACAGTGCATTCTTCTGGTACAAACCTAACTACTGGATATATTATATATACATTTTTAGTCTCAGATAATACTGCTGTAGGGTGATATATGAAGTCACAGTGTGCTTGATTAAATAGAAGCCAGTGACGTTCCACCTGTCACACTATCTAGGCTCATGCTATGACGGCTATTTTCAGCTGACCACGTGTCACATTCAGATGATGGGTGACATTCCTTCATCCACAGACTGAGCATACGGGCTGTAGCAGTCTCCAATAGAACTCTTAGGACCCTGTGGACCCATGCAAAATGTACATGTTCTATCGTACTACACTGAATAGGTCCCTGGAATACTTTCAGGAATACTGCTGCTTGCTTTGAATCTTTATTAATAAATATATGGCCACTACATTCTTACATGGAAACCAGTGTGTCACAGTGAGGAAGATGCAGTGATATGATCAATCGGGGTAAGTTACAATGTGAAAATAAATGTATTTGTATATGACTTTGTTTTATTATAGTGCACATTTTAGCGGCTATCTGTAAGCCATTGTGAAATATTAACAGCTATAGAGCAGCACATTTAAGATGCATATATTTATTTATTTTTGGTTTACATTTTTTTGGGGGGGATTTTCTTTTTTTTTTTATAGGCAGTTGTATAACAGGTTACAATGGATTTATCGTAGCATACAGTATATTACAATATGGCTGCTGTGGTGTGCGTAGGGTCCATTTCTGGCATCCGAGCTTTATGGGAAGGCCGAATCCAGAAGCACCAAGAAGATCTGAAAGCCCAGAAAGAACACAGAGGCACAAAGGCTGTCGGAGAGTAAGTTCCCAGAACTCACTGCCTTTTACTTATAGAATACATAGTTAACATATACCTGGTCATACAACTTAACAGTAAGCAGATAGCATGATATAACTTGCCAACCAAGGCACAATGAAAACCTTAATATGAACTCCACACAGATATAGAAACACACAGATATGCGGTTAAAAGTGTATGTAAACCAAAAAAAGTTATGTATTGCAGGTTTTGATCCTTAATCTAGCATAGCAAATCCTTTTATATATTTTGTATAGGTAATTAAAACTACCTGGTGATCCTTTCAGTTACTGCTGTATCTATGGCACTTCCTTTAAAGCACAAATATAGCTTACTATATAATTACTATAGTACTAATAATAATCATAATAATAAATCAACAGTGCGCAGCAGTCCGGGCCTGCAGTGAACTGACATGCTTCCTGCACAGTACCCCAATTAATACTACTTTAATACCACTTCAAAATCTCAGGCAAACTCCTTACTTTTGGTAAAAAATTTGTATAGCATATATAATTACTACACGAGCCATTTTGTAATTTAATGCTGTTAAAATTACCTTTCTATTTCATTCTGAAACTGCTGTGGTTTTTCTAAAACTATTCAAATAATTTAATGCAATATGAAAAACTATGTTCCATATATGTATGGAACACCCCCGAAATATCAATTCCTGCTTGTATGATTGGGTCACTGATTTTCTCAGACATCTGCACTAAGATAAAATTCAAATGTTAGGCATCCCCTGAAACAGAAATGATATTTTTGGTGAGATTCTCCCTAAGGGCCCGTTCACACCATCTCCAGTGTGTTCCAGCACAGTTAGCTGCTGTAACGCACTGGATCGCATACTGTCTTGCCCCCTACGTTCTGTGGCGGTAGGGGGCGTGGTGGTGCATTAAAGTCAATGGCAATGCAGCCACGCCACTCGCCCACGGTGTGATCGCCCGCACCAGAATGCGTAGCACAACAATGCCCGCGTTTCTGCCCAGCCCGAAAAAAATTGTTCTTGTACTATTGTTTGCAATTGCACTGGACCAGAACGCGGGCATTTCCGTGCCACGCATTCTGGTGCAGGTGATCGCACTGCGGGCCTTGAATGCACCGCCGAGCCCCCTCCCGCCCCAGAATGGAGGGAGACGGACAGTATCCGATCCAGTGCGTTCCAGCAGCTAATCGTGCTGGAATGCACTGGGGATGGTGTGAACATACTAAAGGTTAACGACCTCTAGAAGGATGCACACATTGCAAATTTCCTCATTAGAACACTGAAAGTGCACCAGGTGATTATAATGAGAGCAGACCCCCTACTGATCAATCGGTATGGAAAGGACATGGTGCAACAAATGGCTATTTCCTCAGAAAAGGAACAGGTAGGAATCGGCAAGAAAGTTTCTTAAAATCCGTGCAATGTACATTGATCCTCCACAAACATGGAGTTACACTTTTAGTATTCATAGAACGTTTAAAATATGTTAAATGTAAATAGTATGAGGAATCCCTCTTGATATCAGCCTTTTGTAATTGCCTGTACAACAGCACTCAAATTGGTAGCAGGGAGTTGACCAAGTTGCATTCCTATATATGCAACTGAAGCCCAAACTTTTTTTAGTTTTGGATAGAGTGAAGAGGGATTAGAACACCTGTCAGATCTTTATTGCTGTCTGCGTCCCCGTCAGGGAGATTCACTCACTCTATTTGTCCTGGTGACCGTTAGCACTAAAAGCAAAATAAAATCACAAATGTTATGATAATCCCAAATTGGATTATCATAACAACAAGAATAGATGGAAAACCTTTGATTGGGAACACTAGTACGGGTGACACTGCTGACCACTAGGGAGTTCCCTCACTTTGGAGAGATTACTTACTTCCTGTCCAGGGCCGGTGCTAGGATTTTTGCCTAGACAGGCAATGTTGCATTTTTGCGCCACACCCCCCTCCCCGACACCCTGTAGCGCTGGGCCGGCTCCCTATCAGCATGTTTTTTTTCCGGCGACTGCCAGAGGTGCCGCGCGTGTTGGGATCCTCTGGCAGTCGCTGGCCAGCTAAATTAGGACAGCACCTGGAGCTCCTCCGACCGGACCAGCGCTGACTCGCCACTGCTCTCCCGCACCGAAGGTAAGTGAAAAAAACCAAAACATAGCGCAAGCATCGGGGCATTTTGACAAGTACAAGTACTTGTCAAAATGCCCTGTTTTTTCCACCCTCACCCTGCAGCGCCCTCAGGCGGCCGCTTACCTTGCGGTAGCGCCGGGCCTGTTCCTGTCTATATAATTTTCAGGACTGGCTGGACAAAATGACAAATCCTATAGGAAGTATAACTCCCATTCATGTATTTTAACTTTATATTTAGCTGTTTGCCTGGAGGTCAGATTTAACTATCCACTTTGCGCAGTTTTCTTGTGCACGTCTACAACACAGAGACATACTGGGAAACAGTGTTTTGTGTTTAGTCCTGTGTTGCTTTCATAATTTAGTTTTTATTCCCTGGGGATCAGTGTTATGTTCCTGACACCCAAATGCAATGTTCATTTCACGATGACTAGGGATATACACTGGACATCCCTTCCCAGATATACTGTATTCTCAAGGTTACTGCTGTTTAATAATACACTTGCTGTTCAGGGCAACTCTGACACCTTTCGCCCGACCTGATGTCTTATAACAAAATTTAACACAGTTAAAGTTAAAGAGGAAAGAAGAGCATGTTCTTATGTGTTTACTACTCTGCTCCTCCAGAATCTCTAATGTATGGGAGAGCCGTATCCAGTTATCAAAGCTGAAGGAGAAGGTTTACAATGAAGACGGAAGGCTGATTCTCAGGATTGAAAAGGAAGAGTGGAAGGTAACTCACCTTTAAAAGTGTAATATATGGGACTCTGAAGATCATGTAAAAGTATTAGGTTGTAGTTATGTAAGATAATGATCTCCAAAAACAATTTAAAGGAGAACTATGGGGTTAGGGCTTTTCCCCATAGTTCCCCTTAGCGTAACGGGAGGACACAAACTAGCGTCCTCCCATCACCCTAAGCTCAGTATACCACGAGCTACAGCTCGCAGTATACTGAGACGCCGCAATTATGTCTGGATCCGCCCAGCTGCATGACTGACAGCTGGCTCTGCCTATCTAGAGGCAGAGCCAGCTGTACCCGCCCCCTCCCCCGTCCGTTCCGCCAGTCAGCGCTGGAGGATCAGAGCGCGGAGGGGGAATCCAGCCCCTCCCCTGTCACGGCAGAGAGCCTTGACAGGATCGAGAAGTGAGCGAACGCCGGTATGTGTTCGCTCACCTCCCGATCTACTGAGCCGACCTGTGACAATCTCATTGTCACAGGTCGGCTAGAACTATGAGGTGAGTGAAAAGCACTCACCTCATAGTTCTCCTTTAAGGAAAGAAGAAAAAAGAAGGAAGGTAGAGACACAGGAGAAACCATTCTGTAGTGCAGTAATATACTGTATATTAGACATGTGCACCAGCAAAAAAAAAAATTGTAGTTTCATTTTGTTTTGATTCGGATTTTGCGTTATTTTGTTTTTCGGGATTCGGGTCCGAAAGTCAATTCGTTTCGGAATTCGGATTTGGACGAAATTCGTTAGCGGTAGTCCGTACGAAATTTCGTTTTGGTTTTCGTTTAGTTCGTTGCAGCAAAGTGACATTTAAGAGGAAAAAAAGTGTTTTCTTTTCTCAAATGTCACTTTGCTGCAACGAAATTTCGTCCAACAAACGAAATGTCGTACAGAAATTCGTTTGCATTCGTTACATCTGTAATTCGGAATTTGAATTTCCGAAATTTTGGCCGAATTGCGATTCGGAACTAAACTAATTGCACACGTCTACTGTATATACACAGGAGGTCAAAAAGGTTGGTAGATTTTCTTTTTTAGCATGTTAGATTTTTATTTAGAAAAGAGCAATACAGATATGATCAAGCATTGACATGAATTATAAATCAGGTATCAGTACGCAGACTGTAATCTAGACATGCAAAGAGGGATATATCCAAGTAGATAAAATGAAAAACGAAATCACAGCATTGTAAAAACTCTTCAGTGATATTGCGTTTCGAGTATGAATAAAGAAAACTACAAACAGTTAATCCTATAGCCATAAGGGTCGATATTGTGGGGAGAAGAACAATTCGTGACAGCAGAGGTAATCGTGGGCCTATCAGGAGAAGGTTGGTAGATTATCATCATTATTCTGTAATTACATTTGTTTGGTTGCTTGACACCATGAAATGGTCAGCGTCATCGTGCTTGTGGAGAACATTCCTCTCTTCACACAGACCTCACGTAGACCTTTGTGATGGACTTCTTGCTAAAACATGGGGAGCCCTGGGACCACCTCATCTTCATAGTTGGTATGTAAGAAAAATTACAATGTCATCAATATAGACAAAAATGTTCGAACACCCCAATCATGACAGAGTCGCGAAGGAACCACTCAATAGTACATTGGTAAAGCTAAAGTCAACAGTGGTAACTATTAATGTTTCTGTCCTTACAGGTTCACTTCAAAGCAAACTCAAAATCGTAGATTGGGGCAGATTTAGAATGTCTGCCAGTTTTTTTTATTGCTGACGGGAGGTTATAAACCCTTCATAACTGTAGCCTAAACAGAGAAAAAAATAAGGACCTTAGCTTATGCTTCACATTCATAGGTGTACATCAGAGCTATGCTAGCAGCCATCTTCTTCTTGAATGGCAATTTTTTTTAGCACATTTAACTTGGTAATTGCCAGAGATAAAAACTCGGATAGAAAACAAGGGAGGGCAGGGAACCTTTGGCCTAAAGGACAAACACAACCAAGTGGCCCTTTCATAGTAGGGACAGATTTCTCTGAGCTAAAGAACATGTACAATGTAAAATGTACAAATCATGCCACAGTAGTTTTTGGACCTGGTGAAAGATGGGTGCATAGATGGCTAACATTCTTGATTTCAGGTACACTTTCCTCCAATAGTAAAGAATTGGGTATTGTGAACCATCTGCCATAGCAAATTGTGTGCAGCCCTGGCCGGTTGGGATTTTCTATTAAACATGGAGTGAGGTTGCGGGATCATTTTAAAAATAGGACAAATGTCCTGCAGAAAGAGGGATCTATGGTAACTATGGGTGGGTGTTCTTAAAGGATGTGGTTTATTGTGACACACCTTTTCACATCTTCCAGCATCAGCTTCCAGTGTGCAGTTTGCAACATTTGGTCACATGACATCTCATAGCTGCAAAGGAAGTTGATGCTGGAAGATCTGCCTCTGTCAGACTCTGGCTGGGTTCACACCTACCCTGTTTCCCCCGAAAATAAGACCTACCCCGAAAATAAGACCTACCCCGAAAATAAGACCTACCCCGAAAATAAGACCTAGTACTATTTTTGGGAATTGCTAAAATATAAGACCTACCCCGAAAATAAGACCTAGTTGTGACCATTCCCAGGGCCGATGGTGGCATAAGGGGGAACTTGAAAAAAGGCGGGAGAGAATCAGCGGTGCCAATGAAGCCAGCGCTAGAGGGAGTGAGGCGGCAGCGGAGGGAGCAAAGGCGCATAAGCCGATGTTTCCTCTATAGCCCCGGCTCCTGTCACAGGCGGAGTGATACCAAATGCACTCCGCCTGTGAGGAATCGATAGCAAAAGCGTGCTTCGCTCATCCTGGCCAGCGATTGGTTAACAAACTGCTCTTGGAAAGGTACGGTACCCCTGATTGCCCTGATCACCATATTTTTTTACATGAATACATGTAGACTGTTGTACATGAATAAGTGTGAATTGCTGTATAATTTAAAAAAATAAGATCTACCCCGAAAATAAGACCTAGTGTGTTTTTTTTGAGCCAAAAAAAATATAAGACAGTGTCTTATTTTCGGGGAAACACGGTAGGCGTATCGAATAAGCGCATATGTTGCGCGTTTTTACAGCGATTAGTGGTAAAAAAACGTGTGACAAACGCGCGTTTCCGAGGGCTACCTGGCTGTATCCCAATGGATACGCGCGGCAAATGCGCCCCAAAGAAGCTCTTGTACTTCTTTGGGCCTAGGGCGCTTTGCAGCGCGTTCCTACGCGCTGTAAGACGCCCAGGTGGGAACCATGCCCATAGGCAATCATTGCCTTTCACATGTTGAGCGTTTTACAGAGCGTAGGAACGCGCTGTAAAACGCCCAGGTGTGAACCAGGCCTCTGTGATTGGAAGCAAATATCTATATAATGCCCACCTATTGTTACTGACTAAAAGCCACACTGATGTCTGAATGGTGAAGGGACATTAGCCCTACATTCCATAACAAATGCGGTGAAGCTCCATTGGAAACTATTCTTATGTCCTACAACCTCAGCTAAGGATGGCTGCAGACCTACATACCATCTCAAGACTGATTCTTTTGTGTTCACTCTTTTGCAGACACTGCCGGCTTGCCTGGTAAAACTGTCACAGCTTCAGGAGTGGCAGCTCCACCGCACGAGACTGACCGCCATACCCTCATTCATAGCAAACTTCAAAAACCTTTTGGTCCTGGACTTAACTCGAAATGCTATAGCTACAATTCCTCGAGAGATTGGTAAGTCATTGTGCATGTTACTATTTTTTTCCATGTGCTATTTAAATGACTGAATATGTACTTTAAGTACAATTATATAAATTATGCTCATTTTATAGGTATAGACACTCATACCTAATGCTCAAAAAATAATTACAAACACCTGTAATTTGAGAAATAATGCTATTGTTGGTCTTCTTCTGAAAATGCTGGTTGCCTGGCTGAGTCTCAATACCTTGGAATCACAGGGGTTGATTTACTAAAGGCAAATAGGCTGTTTACTTTGCAAGGGAATTTGCACACGGCAACACGCAATTTTTTTTTGTTGCCTTTCAACCTGTAGGAGTGGATGGATGAATTTCCCCTGAGATTCTGACAGCAGCGCGTGTGAGGCTGAACAGTGACAGCGGGCCATTGGCTGCCATCTCTGTTTATATGAACATTTTCAATCCGGCAGGGGCGTCCCGAGGCTGGGTGACACCCGGAGCGGTGTCCGAGTGTCACCCCGCCGACCCCCTTGTGACGCCACTGCAATCCGGTTCCTTCGATTTTCTGATCAAAGGATGCCAGATAGAAGGGTGCTGACAGGGCCGCCCACTGAGCACATTTGCACAGTGTACGGCCAGCTTTAGCTTAGTGAAAGTGGTAAAATTTCAGTTTGCAAATAATACCCAATCATGTGCAAGGAAATTGTTTTACAATTCTGTATTTTTGCCAGCAAATGATTGGATGATGAAAGTCAGCAGAGCTTCATCTGATTCACTAAACCAATGGAATGGTTGACATCCAAATAACTACCATTCACAAAATTATCTTATGGTTCATGTGTATCTACTGAATTACAATGCACCATTTGTAAGGTGTAAAATACAGACAATTACTAAATAATAGTAAAATATGTCTGTTTCCTGAATGTGTGTAGATCTCTTTATACGCGGACATGGATTGTAGGTAGATGGGACTGGAGGTGGTACATACTGTATGATGGATAGGGCATGGAGGGAAGGAGGAATTGACACTGAATTCAGTATTTATTTGAGGCACACATGATTTACTGACCTTATCAACTAAACGTTATAACTATTTCCAGGCAGACTGACTAAGCTCAGAGAACTTCTGCTCAGCTACAACCGCATTTCTGAGGTCCCTGCAGAACTAGGTGACTGTGAGAGCTTAGAAAGACTGGAACTAGCTGTGAATAAAGATATTTCTCATCTACCAGACCAGGTAACAGGAAAACATGAAAGTCCCGTTTCAAAAATGTAGGGTTTAACCTCTTGCTGGCAAGCATTTCACTTATAGCACATCGATTTCAATTTTTTTGCAACCCAAACAATCATCAGTAGTGCAAGGTTAAATATTTGAGAGATTTAGTTCTTATACTGTCAATTTTCTAGCAATTAATTACAAGCGCTATGAACCAATTTTCATTATAAAAACATTAAACGATCAAGGCAATCTACTATCAGAAGTTTATATATACAGTCATGGCCAAAAATATTGGTACCCCTGCATTTCTGTCAGATAATGCACCACTTCACGCAGAAAATTGTTGCAACTACAAATGTTTGGGCATTCTCATACTTATTTATTTTGCTTGTATTAGTATGACACAAAAAAGTGGAGAAAAAAAAAGCCAAATCGGACACATTTCACGCAAAACTCCAAAAATGGACTGGACAAAATTATTGGCACCTTCTCCAAATTACAATAAATAATTGCATTCCAAGTTTTTGTGGAAAAGCATGGACAATCTCAAGGTTACAAGTCCATCTCCAGAGATCTTAATGTTCCGGTGTCCACTGTGTGTAACATTGTCAAGAAGTTTACAGCCCATGGCACTGTAGTAAATCTCCCTGGACGCGGATGAAAGAGAACAATTGATGAAAGATTGCAACGAAGGACTGTTTGAATGGTGGATGAAGACCCTCGATCAACTTCCAGACAAATTCAAGCTGCCCTTCAGGCTCAGGGTACAACTGTCAGCTCGAACTATACATCGCCATCTGAATGAAAAGGGACCCTATGGTAGGAGACCCAGGGGGACCCCACTGCTGACACAGAAACATAAAAAAGCCAGATTGGAGTTTGCCAAAACTTACCTGAGGAAGACAAAATCCTTTTGGGAGAATGTCCTGTGGACAGATGAAACAAAATTACAGCTTTTTGGTATAGCCCATCATTCTACTGTTTTCAGAAAAAGAAATGAGGCATTTAAAGAAAACAATACCGTCCCCACAGTCAAACATGGTGGAGGTTCACTGATGTTTTGGGGGTGCTTTGCTGCTTCAGGCACTGGATGTCTTGACTGTGTGCATGGCATTATGACATCTCAAGACTACCAAAGAATTCTGGGCTGCAATGTAGGGCCCAGTGTCAGAAAGTTGGGTCTCCGTCAGAGTTCATGGGTCTTACAGCAGGACAATGACCCAAAGCAAATATAAAAAAAGAACCCAGAAATGGTTTCAGACAAAGCGCTGGAGGTACTGGACTGGCCAGCAATTAGTCTATACCTGAATCCCATAGAGCCCCTATGGAGAGATCTCAAAACAGAGACCTGGAGCAGTTGGCGAAAGAAGAGTGGTCCAAAATTCCTGTAGACCTGTAGAGAGGTGTAAGAAACTCATTGATGGTTACAGGAAGCGGATGATTTCAGTTCTTTTTTCCAAGGTCTGTGCTACCAAATATTAAGTGCCAATAATTTTGTCCAGTCCATTTTTGGATTTTTGCGTGGAATGTGTCAGATTTGGCAAAATATAAACATGAGAATGCCAAAACATTTGTAATTGCAACAATTTTCTGTGCAAAGTGGTGCATTATCTGACAGAAATGCAGGGGTGCCAATATTTTTTGCACATGACTGTATCTGCAAAGAAGGGAGACGGTAGGCTTCTTTGATCTGTTCTTACATTTCTGCAAGCAAAAGCTGGTAAACTTGCTAGAAAACTGTAAACCAGCATAAGGGTGTATAGCCAGCACAATGTGGACTATAAACAGCATGGCTGAAGCACTGGGGCTGATTTACTCAAGGAGTTAAGGAGAATAAATTGTGTAAACATTCACTTACATTATCCAATCATGTGCAGATGAATTAGTAAACACACCTTTAGTAAATCAGCCTTATTGTTTATGATGAGAGGGCAAGGGTCTGTCCACATAGGTTTGCCTTAGAGGGTATTCTTAAAATTTTCCATGAAGCATCCACATGTATTTTAAAGCTTGTTAAAAAAATCTCTGTGGGAACAGACGTCAGGCCGTACTTCTTGTTCATAGAAAAGAAAATGATAACCATACATATGCTGCTATTAACTGGCTGCGATGCATAGATGATCATGGTACCCAGATGTTTTAGCATTGTTCATCAGTGGATATGGCAAGCTAAGCTGCGCAACAGTTTAAGCCACAAAGCGGGTCTCTTCTCTCTATGTAGATGACAAGATTTCCTTTCATGGAATATAGAAAAGTAACTCATCTTGTACACATTCAAATATCTTAGTGAAATTGTGATCATAAATGGTACATTGAAACAAATGTACAAAAATGATTAATCTCCAAAATAATTATTTTAAAACTTAAACTTATGTTTGCTTTTTCACTTTGTACCTCCCCAGCTCAGTAAACTAAAACAGCTCACTCATCTGGACCTGAACATGAATCAATTCTCAGCAATCCCAAGGGCTGTTTTGGGTCTCCCAGCACTGGAATGGTTGGACATGGGCAGCAACAGATTAAAAGAATTGCCCAAAGAGATAGACAAGTGAGTATCCTTTGGAAACTGTTTAAAATTGGCTTGCTGTACTGACCTAAAAACCCATCCTGGAGTTCACTGAGGGACTCAGGCTTTAGAGACAACTGGGTTATAGTGCCACCTACAGGAGGATTTGGACACTGGAAATAGAAAACAGTGATTGCCTACTTGTAAATGAGTCTTCAGAGACTGTTCCATGGCTCTGGCCCTGTAAAAGCACTTTGTGGCTAACAGTACACAAAAGTCCGGAAAGTGCCACAATGCAGAACCCAGTGCCCAAAAGGTCACATTCTACACATGCCCTAAGATTGTCCAATAGCGAGCGGGACCTTCAAAGCGATTGCTGAGGATAAGCCAGTCCAGATAGCTACATATGAGGCCAGCTCAAGCAACTTGTAAAATGAACTCTTGAAGAAGAAAATAATCTTGAAAAATGGCTAGTAAAAACAGTTAAACTTATCTTCATCCTCCTAGCAAAAAAATAGAACATCCTGAGACTGAGAAGGGTTATACCCGGCTAGTCACTGTTTTTTTTTTTTGTTTGTCCTGTATCTAGATCTTCCTGTAGGCAGTGTAATCCAATTGTCTCTGAATCCTGTTCCTAAATGAACCAGAAAGAAATATCTTTACCCTACAGTAAAAACTGAGCCTTGACATGCTTGCAAGAAGCACAACCTACCCATTAATTTCCTCACTCTTTCATCCAGACATCACTGTAGAGTACTTGTTAACCCTGCTCCTTTTTTCTGCAATATGGGGATCTGAGAATCTTTTTAATTTGCTAGGTAATGATGAAGGAGAGACATTCCCAAACACACCTACTGAAGGTTCACTGCTCTCTTTTCCATGCAGTAAGCATGACTTAACAGAATGTCCGCGCTAAGATGTTTCTTACATCTACTAAATCAGATTCAAACTTGCCTCTGGAAGTTAAAATTAGACTGATTTAGATGGTAAGCTTTCACGGGGAGGGCCATCGTAACTCGTATCTTGTCTTAAATTGTATTGTAAAGCACTGTGCAAACTGTTTACACTATAAAAAATCCTGTATAATAATAATAGGGATAAGCAAAGGGATGAGGATGTTAAAGAGAGCATTCTTCAGGGAGTGAATACCCTCTGAAACCCTGTAAAACTGTCTGGATTTTGCTTTATGCGATTCCACAAAACTAAAATTACAGGAAATGTAGTGAACTTTTGAAACGGTGCACAGTTGTGTTTAGTAGATAGTAGGGATGTCCAGATACCAGTGCCGATACTTGGCATTTTCAGAGAACTACCAGGGTAGCAGCTGGGACCTAGCGCTCCACCACTGTCCTGAAATCATTAGTCTGTATTGTTTTAGAAAAACTGTCACATGACAATAAACAAAAATGTATCAGTACTTGTATCTGTTGAGTACTTGGACAAGTAAAAAAATCATACATTAAAACAGAGATGTACAAATCCCAGGAGCTCCGTATGCTTCTTACAAATGACAGCTGCCTCCTAACTTTTGAAATTTTCTCTAGTCTAGTCTTGGAGCTGGAAAAGTATCTGTACTTGTACTGAGTACGGTACTTGGTATCTGAACATCCCTAGTAGATAGCAATGGTAAATCACCAGTTGTCTTCCCTTGTTGCCTGGATTTCTTCTCACTGTGGTTATTGTTACACAGGATGCAGACACTACACACTTTGTGGCTTCAGCGCAATGAAATCTCAGGGCTTCCAGATTCCATAAACTGCCTGACAAACCTCAACACTTTGGTTTTGACCAATAATCTCATGAAACAGATCCCTCTTTGTCTGCAGAGCTTGCACAACCTTCGGTAGGCATGGTTTTATTATAACATTGTAAGTAAGGCTTAAAATAAACATATATATATATATATTCTGGAACCATAATAAAAAAAAAATTAAATTACACACACACTACCTACAGCTATCCAGTATTCTAAAAGATGCCAAATTATCAGCACTCAGTTACACTATGGCATTAATATGATTCTCAGTCGGTATTAAAGGGATTAACACCATTACACCACCACCAACCTGAACCACAGACACAAAACAAGATGAATCCATGAACTAATACTATGTATACCAAAATCTGACCCTACTGCAGAATTTGTCAATGTTTTCCCAATCTTCAGACATCTCATGTTTGTGCTCCCATGTCCCCTGTAACTTTCTCCTTTTCTTAGCTGACAACAGTGGTCACGGTCTTCTGATTCAAGGTTCACTGTATTGTGCACTAGGAGGTGCCCTTCTGCCATTCACTACTAAGAAGAGTAGTTTGAGGTCTGAGCAGTTTTAGACTGCTCATCCACTTGAATTCATCTGGGTATTCTTCTTTAACCACTTATATTGACAAGTTGTTTTTGACCACATAAATACAACTCACTATATGTTTTTTCCACCTTTCTATATGGCAGGTAAACACCCCACACTGTTCAATTAACCTCATAAGTAGTTGTGGCACTGGCCAAGCTCCATTCATCCTTTGATGAACAGCAGAGGGCTCCATGGACTATTACAAGCTAATTCTGAAAAAAAAATGTGTTTCTAATGTGTCCAGAGGTAGATGTAAATTCAAAGTCTTTCTCATAGAAAGGAAAAATCACAATTTAAGTCAACTGTAACAAAGCACCCCTTACCACTTTAGATGGAACATTATACAAAAGCCATTATTCCCTTCAGGTGTTTAGCCAGATTCCTAGTTATTAATAGCCTGTCTGACTTTACAAATAAATCGTAATAAATGAAATAAACCCGTAATATTGAAGATTATTGTAAAGCTGAATAAAAATCTCCATGTTCAGGTTTGTAAACTTCAGGGATAACCCATTAGAGCTTCAGATCACTCTACCACCATGTAATGACGATGAGGATGAGAGGGAGCTGTTTGGCCTACAGTTCATGCATGCCTATATCCAGGAGACCCTAAAAAGCAACCACTCAGGTAGGTGTCCCACATTTGCTACAGAAATATATTATGTAATTTCATTTAATTATTAGTCTGTTCTCCAGAACCTTCCTTTACTATTTGCAGCCTCACAGAGACAATGTTATTTACAGTTTGACATTTTCTAATGAAAACTGAACTTCAAACATCCAGATACACAGATGAAGGTCATACAAGAGAGCTGTTTTACATCCCAATTTGCATTTCTTCCTACTTAGTCCTGAGATATATATAGCTCTGCCACAAAACACAGCAAGAGGATGGCACCACTTTCTCTGTTACAGGTGAAGGGACTCTATTTGAAGCCCATCTCTGAGACATTAACAAGCAGTATACCCTTGCAGTAAACCCACTGCAATGTTTATCTACTTGTTCATGATTAGAGGACCTTTATAAAAAAAATATATTAACTTACCTGATTCCTGTCTCCCGTCCCCAATACCCCCCGCTGCTGAATGCGCTTACCTTGTCTTTCCTATGCTCCGGCTTGTGTACTGTCCCATGGCATCCTTACGTACAATGCAGGGCTAAGGGCTCTGCATTGTACATCATGACATCAGCGGGTTTCCGAGGGCTGGCACACAGGGGGAAGAGGCTGCTGATGCTTCTTTGCGGCTGCATGAGTGCGGATCAGGTAAGTAAAAGTCTTTTACACATGTCCCCTAGACATTAACAATCAGTTGACCCCTGCAGTTTGGGGGCAGTCCAGTTGCAAAAGGAGTATTTTTTTGCCTTGGAGATAGGCTTTAAAGTTTTAAAAAGACTTACCTGCGAAGAAATAGGTTTATACTTACCCCTCTCACACTGATGATCGCCCGTTTCTTCAAATGCTACAACTGGCTTCCTTGCTGGACACACTTTTGGTGCGTCAGGAGTGGGTTTCCACCTACGTCACTCTTTTGTCCTATAGTGGCAAGTGAAAGGAACCCCATCCTGAGAGGGGAACTAGGCATCTGACACTTCCCCAGTTTTCACATGCTGAAGATTTTTCAGCCACGGTACCACTTTAATTTAAATCAGTGGAGATCGGTGGTGCAAACGGTAAGTATAAGGCCTTGTTCACACCAAATGCAGACCAGATCCGGTCAGGTTTCTGCACACGCAGTGTAGTGGGTTGTGCCGCGTTTTGGATGCGTTTAGGGCCGGTTTTGGTAAAAAAAAAAAAAAAAAAACTTATAAGAAATTTTTTGGGGTGG